TTTCTAAGCTCCTCGCTGTTCTCCATCAGGCCCTCTTCAGCCTCTGATGATGCTCCTGTCCACCCCAGTTGCGAGTCGCCATCACCTCAGTCTCCCCTTTTAAAGCTCTGTGCTCACAGTAGATTTCTGGAGATTTGATTACCCAGCTCAGGAACTGTCCAGGTTTTCTGTTCATTTTTGTTTGATTTCCTACAACCAAATATCTGCTTTTTGATCTAGTCACAACTTATCACGCTAAACGAAAATGTGCAGAAACTGGCCAAGAAAATGAGGAGCACAACAAACCATTTTGCACTCATGAGAAACGTTGGTGGACACGGACGGACACTATGACTCAGGGCAGGGCACAGATTTACTGTGGTTTGTGCCAAGATGCCTGCCTTCTTGTAGGACCTCCAACTGCTTTATTTTGGCGATAGGATTTTTGGACTTATTTTTATCCACAAGGATTATAGAAGGGATCTCACTGTGGATCCACATAATTTGGAGCCTCCCTCTATAGAACCACGAGCCACACCCCAGGAGATCTAGCTTAAACTAGCTGTCCAACAACACCTCCTTCTAGAATGCAAACATATCAAAAACTTCCTGAGATATCACCATAACATCCTCTAGATGTCACCTTGAGAACATTCCAGGATGGAAGATGACTGCTTTTGCAGCACACAGACAACCTGAAATAGATACATTTAAAACTCTGCAAGCCTGGTCCATGGACTGATTAAAAAACATTTTTTTTTTCCCCCTTGCTAATTGCCTCAAAGACTAAATAGCACTCCAAATTAAGTTTAAATCATAAAATTATCTAATTTCCCTTTCTGGCAGATTTTCCTCTTTCTCCCCACAAAAGCAGAAGTAAAAACTAAAACCTTAGAAGTATTTTACCTGAATCCATCCTTTTCCCCATGGTCTTCCCTCCCCAAAACATTTTTCAATTTCCAAGGGTACTCATCTCATTACTTGAAGCATCTGAGGGAGGAGAGTGTAGCAAAAATTTTAAGGCAGAAATTAGTTATCCCTGGAACGTTAAGAGCATTTAATTATGGATGATTACCCAATCAATCGTTTCTCTTTAATAAGCCAAGTCTACAGCCGGCCAACAACTGATTCATCTGGTCATGCAGTTCATTCAAATCAAATGAGCTGTCAGGTAATTCATTAAGGATTTTAAACACCTCGGTGCATTAAATCAATCTGGAGACTGGGAAGGAAATGGAGGAAGACTTTTACAAGTGACTTCAGGGAGATTTGGATTATCTTGGGTGTTATTTCCTGTGATACAGATACACTTCGCCTAGGGGGCCTGAGTTTCAAAAAATACAGACCTAGAAAAATCAATTAATTTTCCTGTAAAGAAAAGTAAACGATTACAGAGAATAGTTGTAGGGTCAGTCTCATAGGATTTCTAAGGGAATCTTTTCTAACCACCAAACTTACCCCCAAAGTTAAGAGGCTCTGATGGACAAAGAAGCCGGGAGCTGCACAGAAATATGGGGAGAGGACCTCATCAACTCACAAAACTAGAAGCCCTTGGACTCAGCATCAAAGGAAGACAACACGGACAGTCCCCAGAGCTGTGTTATCAGTAGCCTCCCCGATTATGATCGGGTAACTTCCAGGACCGTGAGTGGCGCTGGACAGAGGAAAACAACTCGTGCTGAAAGTGTTCTTTAAAACTAACAATCACTCGTGGAGTTCCCTGAGAACTACTTCCAAATACAAAACAGCTCCCTTTAGAATCCTGTGTTCTCACTGTAAGAAGGAAAAAGACAGAGATGCTATATACTTTTCCTCCAAATATACACAAAGATAATTTTAAAATAGGGGAGAGAACTTACTTATGCAATATCCCCAAATTATACTCCTCAGGAAATATTAGCAATTATATATGTCCTGATGCAGAAAAATTACATGTTAAGCAAAATTCCACAGTAGGAAAAAATAGGCTCAATATTTTGAAACACGTTTATAAATTAGAGATGTACTCTGCCATCTTTTCAAATATTGCTAGGTAAGGTGTGCACAGCAGCATTTCTAAATTCTCAAAATTAAAATTTAACTGTTTTCCCCTGGAATATTAAAATTTGAAACAATAAAGTTACATTGAATAAGAAATTTATAGTCAAGGGATCACACGTGGGTGTTTTATAGCTTGATTTTGTATACAAAAGTTAGAATATTGATTCTCAGGAATCGCTGGGGGTTTTTCTGTTTCTATTATCATTTTTTTGCTGGTAATGACAGCTTCCCATTTTCCTCTGATCCCTCTCTTATCCAATGATAAGCATTTACAAATATGCAGTTACATATAATTATTAATCAATGATCATGTGCAAGGCACAAAAGGGAATTAGTCCCCAGCCAATCAAGAATAGGAATAATTCATTTATGAAGATTATAAACACTTTTTCAAAAAGGTACGCTGCCAATCACCTCTTTGCTCTCAAGATCCAAATTACAAAACAGAAACTAAGAAAGTTTTACAGTACATCTTTTGTTCTAAAATTATCAGCCAGAAGAGATAAGAAGTCAGGGAGAAATGAACGTTCGGTGACTCCCAGCACTTCTCATCTCATATTCACACTCTATTCATCACTTCCGACAAGAGAACCCTTAGGGACCAGGCACCCCACACAGGTTAGATACATGGCGCTTTCCAAACCGGGAAAACCATGAGGAGTCGCCTCTTTGGTGTTCAAAGGGAGTCCCCATGTCTGTCTAGTAGGCGGACACACCCCCCTTCCCTGAGGAGTTAAAACCAGTTCCTCCGGTCTCTCTGATATAACTGAAACAGCATGAGGTTTATGGGATGGCCCAGAGCAGCTCAGAACTCAGGTACACCTCAAGCTGTTTTGTCCATGGGGTCAAAAGGACAGGTCAAGGAAGGAATTCCAGGTGCTACTAAGAATCAAGAGCTACCAGGTGTGGTCAAAGAGGAAAGAGAAGGGACTCAAAATTCAAACGAACCAGTTCAACACATTAAGGGCAATAACAGTACAGAAATTATTTTCTCACAATTCTAAGGCACCCTTGACGTTTAACCCAATATCAAGGGAAGCCCACAAACTATCGTTGTCCAGCCTGAGGTTCAAAACTGTCCCCGCAGAAAACAACCCACACGAACAGGTAAGGTGGTCACCTTTGCTTGAATCACTGCAAAGCAGGAACTGTGACATTAACCTTGTACTACTTGGGGGGACTTTTCATTTGCAAGGCTTGTTGTCACTATGAAGAAGTATTTCAGATGGAAGGCGGTGACCCTGCAGGGGTCATCATCAATCACCTGGGGTCAAAGACCTTCCCAATTGTGAGAAGAGGCAGGGGGTGAGGGAAAGAGGGCAGAGAAAGATCAAAAGGCCTTTGATGGAGGTTATCTACCTGCACCAAAGAACCTGCAAATCGGAGCTTCTCTGGAGTTTGAAAGCCCCTCATTTCTAAGGTGAGAGATTTTAAGAGGGGTCTTTGTTGTTTGTTTTTTTTTAAACTTGGGTGCTTAAGAAGAAGACTGAAGTCAGCAGATGGCAGGAGAGCCTAGTGGCATAGCCTTACATATCTGCCAGTTTCCGGGTCTGTCTCTAAAAGCATTAAATGCCATTTTCTTCTTCAAGAGCAAGCACTGGTTGGGTAAGGGAAGGACCCCCTCCCGCCACCTGGCATCTGCCAAACGGCAACGTGGCTCAGCTGGAACTGTCTCACAATACAGGATTTTAGCGGAGGCAAATACCTTTACTTCTTTTCTCTTTACGCAAAGCAGTCACAGAGGGAGGGGCTGGGACGTTAAGTCATGGCTTTTAGGCCAGCGGCCAAGCAGTCAGTGTCTGTGGGATCCTTTGGGATGACCCTTTGTGATGACATACTTCTTGTTACTTTTCTTGTTGCTTAAATGAGCCTTAGATGATGAAAGGAACAGCTGGATAGAGGAGGAGTACCTGGCTAGAGTGGTATGTGAATCAACTCCACTGGGTACAGACTCTGAGGAAGGGAAAGGGGCAGCTTTAACTCAGAAAAAGACAGTGAATGGTGGTCCAGTGGCTAAGACTCCGGGGTCCCAGCGCAGGGGGTCCCGGTTGGATCCCTGGTCAGGGAACTAGACCCCACATGCCACAATTAAGACCAGGTGCAGCCAAGTGAATAAATAAATATTTGAGGTGGCGAGGTGGTGCTTCCCAGGTGGCACTAGGGGTAAAGAACCTGCCTGCTGAAGCAGGAGACAAAAAAGACGCAGGTTCGATCCCTGAGTTGGGAAGTTCCCGTGGAGAAGGACATGACAACCCATTCCAATATTCTTGTTTGGAGAACCCCATGGACACAGGAGCCTGGTAGGCTACAGTCCACGGGGTCAAAAAGAGCAGGACACATGACCGAAGTGATTGAGCGCACACACACTGAGAGTCCAGTGGTTAAAAACCCACCTTCCAATGGAGGGGATGAGGGTTCAACCCCTGGTCAGGGAACTAAGATCCCACATGCTTCAGGGCAACTAAGCCTGAATGCTACAACTAGAGAGCCTACACTCTATAATGAAAAAATTTTAATTTCAAAATTTAAAAAAAAAAAGACAGTGAAGGAAGGAGGGCTGCACCGAACCCCTGGTTAGAAGCTTAATGGACGATTTTGTGGAATATTCAAGGAGAATCATTATCCCAAGTAAGCTCTGCCCTACCCCCCAGCTGCTTTTCCCTGTTAACTGGTGGGTAGAGTTATTTCAAGAACACAAACAATACGAGTCTTTTAAAAACTTACTGGACATGTTTATAAAAATAATTATTTTTAAGAAACAAAACATACTGCAGAGCAATATAAATGGTTTTCAGATTACGGGCTGTTTTGATTCGCCATGCCCTAGAGCCTCCAGCCTACACCCATCAGCATGGATAATTGAGAATCTGCTGTATTTCCATTTTAACACAGTCTCTCTAATATATTTCAGGCATTCAGATGGAAAAACCAAACCTCCGACTACTATTTTGCCTTTCATGAATTTAGCACATGGCACTGACCTCTATACAGTCCAAAGAAGCCTTCATAGCGCAGTACTTTCTTGAAACAGTCAAAGCTGTTTTTATACATAAGTTCTCCTACGAAAGAACCGGTCGATCGTTGGTTCTGCATTCGAGTTTTTACCAGATCGATAGGGTACACCGCAGTGGCTCCGACAGCTACAATCAAACAATACCAATAATTCAGAAGAAATCAAGGTCACAGGAAAGGGGGAGGTGGTTAAAGTCAAAGATACGATTGATGAAATAAAGAAATTGTGCACATGCAAACTGTAAAATGAACTTTCTACACCCTTAATAAACAACAGTGGCTTTCACTCAAGGGTCTCCTGATAAAAGGATATCACTGAGTTCAAATTTTGAAAAGCAGATCACTACAGCCTAGCCTCATTATTAACCAATATCTAGAAGCCCATCTGCAGATAGATGTGAGAAAAAAGTTACTTCTAAGTTACTGATCAAATGCAGGTACAAAGAAAAGTTTCCCTTTGCTGTTATCCCATCACATAGAGAGAGATTTGGTAACTAGCTTGGGAAAAGCAGAGAAGGTTTTGTTCTTCGATATTTCAAAGTGGAAAAAATCAGAGGAAAAAGAGGAATAATAACAATGAACAATTTACACTCATCCATGACTCACCTCCAGCAATGGAACCAAGACCAAACCTGTAGGCTGACTCTGCAATTTGCAGGAGAACTGGTCGAGATGAATCCACTGATGCCTTCTTCTTTGCGTACACAGGAGTTGCAGAGTGGAAAGACAGGAGACGGAAAGGAAATCAAAACAAAAATGAGCATGTTATTTTATTTTTAAATTACAACTGCCTTCTTAAACTCATGATACAGCTAAAATGTCAAAGAGGAAGAAGGTATGGTTAGATTTTTGTAAATTCTTATTAATAAAAAGTAATTACTGCCATCAGTTTTTAAAGTCAAGTTTAAATATAATGAAAGACATTACTGTGTCCCCCCAAATGTTATGAATATGAACTCATCTTCAAATGTTCAGTTCTCATTAGCGAGCAAAGAGATATAATTTAAAAACATTAATGAAACATCATTCTTCAACAAATTGTCAAACTGGTGGGTTTGGGGAGTTCTGTCTGTTTTTAATGGCCATGCCCAACCTATCAGAAGATGACAAAAGACTGGGCTTCTCAAATCTGCCATTGAATCAAGTATAAACTGCAGGGAAATTTGGCAACACACACTCAATGCTTGAAATGTACAAATGCTTAAAATGACCCTGCAGTTCTACTTCTAAAAAGTTAGGCTAGAAAGTAATCATCTATATAAACAAGGATCAAGCTACAATAATAATAAAAAGCAGTACTGTTAAAAAAAAAACAGCAGTACCATTTTAAGAGCAAAACCTCTGAGAATACCCAAAGGTCCAATAACGGAGGACTGGTTAAAAATAATGCTATAGCTCTAAAACAAAATTGCATGCCATTAAAAAACAATATTGTGAAAAATATTTGATGTTCAGAAAAAGTGTGCATACAGTATTATAAAGAAAAAATAGGCTAAAAACAATACGGTGTGTAGACAGGTATTTATTATGTTTCTCTTTACCTTTTAAACTGTTCTGAAATGTTTCATAATTATGTTTTAAAACCAGTGTTAAAGACTGTGTGTGAATATGCTGTGTTTCTTACTAAAATTACTTTGGTATGTATATGCATATAAAAATAACACTAGTGTTTTGGCTATCACATCACCCAGAGATACTCAACTGTTTATAGCGGCTACAACTAAGTGGTTATATTACAGGTGATTTGATATTTTCTCTTTTTTGTCCATCTTTTCTAAATTTATACTTCAGGCTAGTCATTCTGTTATTACCATTGTTGTTCTTTTGACCTACTATGGTGTTTTTGATGCCAGAACATTTCAGAGTATTTCACTCCTCTGTCTACATAAATAAAACAGTAATTTTATGTCACACAGAGCTGTCACATGAGGGTGGCATATAGTTAGTGCTTAATAAATACCTGTTGAGTGAATAAATACATTCAATAAAATTTGTTTTTCATAAGCCATGATAATTAAGATCGGTGAACAATGAAAATAATTACCCACCCCAACTATCAACCCACTGAATTTTAGTTGCTGTCAGTGTAGCATAACTCTAATACAATGAGATAATTTGGAATCTCCTTCAAAGTGAACTGAAAATAGCTTTATGCAGAAATATGCATTTTTAAGAAAGCAAAACATTTCTTCTGCAAATTCCATGGGGTGCTTCCAAGGGCATCCCCATATAGATGGATGATTTCCATCTGTATCTATTATGCATAGCAACTTCATTTTGACAGATGCATCTGTAAGAAAGGCACTGTTTTATGTACACATATATAAACTGGCAATACGAAAAAAGTTTCTGGCATCAAAACAATGAGTGAAAATACCTTGAAAATAATGGGTTGATGGGGAGGTACCTACCACTATCACTAATTCATCTAAAGACAAAATCCCAGACTTTCATATTACTTCTCTGAAGCTAGAAACGTGGCATCCTCACAAAAGAAATACTAGAAAGATTCCTCCTCCCACACTCTTCTCTCTTGAGAAGAGTTAGCCCCCTAGCCTGGCAGGCGGGTAACCTCTGTTGCTTGAGTCTGCCAGCATTGTCAGGCCCACCAGGGTTCACTTAAGTAAAGAATATTCCAGGCAAGGCCCCAGTGAATCGCTCTGAACCTCCAAGCAGCAGCCAATCATTTCCTGCTGTAAACCTCATCAATCCCATCCAACCCTTTCAGGGACAGGATCAATAAGCACCCACCATCAGAAACTTGCTGAAGCTGCAGAGGGCAGAGAGGAGAAATTGTGGGATAGCACTGTCACAGGAGAACAGGAGGAATCTTTTTTTAAAATTCTCTGCTTTTTCTTAATCCCCCAATTTTCTACAGGAGCTAGTAGCGGGGGGGCAAAGAGAGAATCATCTGGTAAGCGGTGTTTAAAACTCAAAGGGAGGGGAGCGCGGGGCTGTGTCCCCCCCTCCGTGTGACTCCACACTCCTCTCGCTTGCACGCGCGGAAATCGGCTTCCTCCTTTAACAGCGGCCAGCCGGTTTTCCAGAGGTGCCGAGCGAGGGTCTGCTGCGCGCACGCCCACCCCGCGGCACACACAACGCGCCGCTGCCCTCGGGTGGGAGAGAGCTGAAAGGAGGGCGTGCTGGCTCCGGGCCTGCCCGTCCTGAAAAGGCAGCCCGCGTCAACCCATTGTGGTCACACTGGCGTCTCTGCGCAGACCCGGAGCTCCCAGCCAAAAACTGTTCAGTCTCACAGGATTCGGAGATGGCTTTGCCTTAAAGGAGGTATTTTTCTGAAACGACGACGCGCGTCTGTGAGGGGATTTATTTTACAAACATCGCGGAAGCACAACAGACACTCTGAAGGCTCTTGTTCTCTAATCCCGATCTCTAGAAAGGCGAGCAAGAGTGAAGTGCGAGGAGGTCCCCTGTCTTAGGTTTCTGACTCCCACAGCTTCAAGAGATTGGTTTCTGTTAACCATAAAATAAAACTTAGCATTCCTCAAATTGTTTCCACATAACTTATGAATCCTTTCACCAAGAAAATAGGTCTAAAAGCCTTCAAACTATGACTCCAGACTAAACAAAATTATCTCATTTTGATATTCAGAAAGACGGCAGGCATGGCAGTCAGTCCTCCCTGACGGAGCGCCTCTCCGCGAGGCAGAGCCGGTCCTCACCTCTCGACAGGACGCTGGGACGAGACACCCAGAGCGGGCTGGGGCCCGGGCTCTGCCAGCCTGAGGCCGGGGGAAGTTTTCTTCCTCCTCTTTGGGGAGGGTGAGGCTTCCCATGCAGCTAAGAAATCAGCCCATCTTCCGCAGGAGAGAGCAAATGCCAGTTATCTGTTACTCAGGACATTTCTAAGTAAGTACCCTTCCCAGCCTTTTGAAATGGTCTGGTTTTTTTTTTTTTTTTTTTTTTTTTGGTGCAAAACAGAGAAACCGTTGGTCAGGAACCAGTGCCAAAAAAGGCAACTGCAAGTGGAAAGGGGTTGTGGGACCTTATCAAGGAAACGCCAGGAAGCATGTGTGATCCTTCTGCCCACCTGCCTCTGGGCTTCAGCCAAGTTGAAGGGCAGAGTCCCCTCCTCCAGAGGAGCAATCCGTTCAATGTCGGCCAAGGTCATGCGTCTAGAAAGAAAGGCAAACGTAAACAACAACAAAATACAAATTAAAATTTAAGGTACGGAATTTTAAAATGTTCCTTTTCTCCTTTCCCACATTTCAGAGTCATCTTTAATTTGGTTTCTTTTTCTCCAGGTTTGCTGCCCTCCTCCTACTCCCACCTCCTAACCTCCCTTTATTAAGCTAATTAAAAGAAAAAAAGGCCAACTTACCCCCGTGGCTCATATAAATCTGCTAACTGAAACAAGATGTCAACTTCCATGGGTGTAACCTGACCAAATTTCTGAGCTGCCAGAACAAACTCCTCTGTATGGAAAAAGAGTTAAAAGGGAAAGATTCAAGAAGGAATAGCCACTAAATGCAGCATTAACTCAAGGCACTGGAATGAGCGAACATCACCAAACTTTATTATTAACAGTCACAGAATTCAAGTCAATCCAAATAGGGTAAGAATTTTTGCAGTTCTTTCATTCATCTGGAAAGAGTGTGCAGAATGCTCACTCTAATAGTGACTTTAAAAGGTTGGTGTCACCTGAAGGCTTTGAATAAATGACACAGGAAACCATTCAAATTGTAAGTCAGGGAAAACCAGGAAGGAGATATGAGACTACATACACAGAGGTCCCAGGAGACAATATTAATGAAGCTGACGAATTCCAAAGGGAATTCTTGGTTAAAAAAAAAAACCCCATTAAAATGCTGATATCTTGATCAAAGAGTATCAATACACACTGTCAGCAGTATAGTTTAAGAATTCCTTGTGTACTTTCGAAGGTCATTTTAGAGGATGTCAGTTTAGTTTAGGTTTTAGTAAGATTTGAAAATATTTAAGGAACTTCGGGGGCTTCCCAGATGGCACTAGTGATAAAGAACCTGCTTACCAATGCAGGCAGATGTTAAGACACATGGGTTCGATCCCTGGGTAGGAAGGATCGCCTGGAGGAGGAAATGGCAACCCACTCCAGTATTCCTGTCTGGAGAATCCCATGGACAGAGGAGCCTGGTGGGCTACAGCCCATAGCATTACAGAGTGGGACACGAATGGAGAGGCTCAGCACACATGCAAGGAACTTCACATGGGTCCCTCATTCAGAGAAGGCCTTGGGTTTATTTAAAATGTGCTGAAGATTGTTTCATTTGTTTCAAAGGGTGGAGAACACACAAGCACCAAATGGTTAATATGTGTCAATGAGATAGAAAACCATGGATAGAAAACTCTGTAACATAAACTTTCGGTTGTCTTCTTCCCTCTAATAACACTTCACCCAGATACTTGCAGGCAAGAATTCAGGTTTAGTCGCACTCACCCTGAGTCACCTCTACATCTTTCCTGTTGCCAGCCAGAGTGCTATAGATCTTTCTAATGAGTTCCATGTTGTTTAGGAGCGAGTTAAATCCATTAAAATAGGAGAAACTAACTTGATGGGACGTGGCACCTCCAGCAGCCTCAAATAAGTTGAAAATAAGAGGGGGGGAAAAGAAAAATAAACAAAGGATTTATAGAATGAAGAAGATTCAGAAGTACGTATATCAAATGCTAGTTTTGGAAGTAATCAAAAAAGCATGCATAACAAAAAGTGGCCAGAAGTATTTTTCTTTCACATTAAAAGAAAAAAAAAAAAACAGCTATAAATGATTTTTAGAAGTAACTGCAACTAATCATGACCAGAACTTGTACACACAGGTCCTAAAAACTAAATAAATACACATGTAGGATTATAATAACAGGACCAGTAGTAATTTACAGAGTTCAAATTTCCATTGGAAATGTTTTATAAGTTTGTTTATTTCATCTAATGAGCAATTCTTAAAAGCTTAGACATGCAAAACTGTGTTATACACATGCCCACATGTGTATACTTATACATGCAAAACTATTATACCAACACAACATGCTATGAGAAGTGGTTAATCTAACATTAATATCATGATTTGTCATGTTACTTATAAGTAGTAATAAATAATCATTTAAGTACATACTTTGTATTGGTAGGATTTCCAGTAAACAAGTACATTAGGATAAAATTATGAGATTTCATATGCTTTGATGGGGGTTAAGACTGGCCAGAACTCTTGATAATCAGCATTTGTAAGAAACCGTATTTCTTCACAGGGATAAGGGAAACAGACAGCATGTCCATTATAAATGGAACTTCAGTTTGGGGTTTCAAATTCTATCCTTCCCTAACAAGGCAAAATATTTTTATTAGGAAAGCACTTCTTTATAAGGTAACAACCACATAAATCTTCACTTCATAAACGTTCAAAATAGCTGACATGAGAGTTTAGACTGGGCTAGGGAAGGGAAGGACCAAGAAAAGGAGCTGCTGGAATGCCAGAGTGGGAAAGCCTTATTAGAACACCAGTATCTTCAAAAAGAGGGACCAGTGAAAATAAAGAGGAAAAATGAGAAACTACTCTGAGTTCTCACTTAAGGTAAGCATTACGGGAAACTCAGATGATGGTGAAACACTCAAAAAGTCCTCTCCCTGGGATTAACACAACAAGAGTTACCACTGCGTACAGGTCCCAAATCTAGGGGATCATCACAATTATCCAAGAAGCTTTGGAAATTAGATACTAGGACTTCCCTGGTGGTCCGGTGGTTAAGAATCTGCCTGCCAATGCAGGCGCCACAGGTTCAGTCTCTGGTCCAGGAAGATCCCACGTGCCATGGGGCAGCTAAGCCCATGTGCCCCAACTACTGAGCTCAAGTGCCCACAGCCTGTGCTCCACACGAGAAGCACCACAACGAGCAGTCTGCGCCGCAGCCAGGGAGGAGCCCCGCTTGCACCAGCTAGAGAGAACTCAGGCATAGCAACGAAGACCCAGCGCAGTCAACAATGAGCAAATAAATGACGTTTAAAAATGTAAAAGAAATCAGATCACCACTGTGGATGGTGGATCAGCAGGCCTAGAAAAGACCTCAGAATATGCATTTTTAATAACAATCCCTGATGAGTCTGAAGCTCCGTGACCAAGGCTTGGGAACCACCACCCCGGTGTGGTCCAGGATACTCTCAGGGCTGGTGAGGGAGAAGAGGGGCTGGACACAGCAGAGACCTGCCCACCATAAGGGCCACTGTTGCCTCAACACACAGGTTGCATGAATGACTGAATCCAAGGCTTAGAGGTGCTATTCTGCCGACTCCTCAAATATATCTGTGTGCACTTTTTTGTTTTTAAATACTTTTCCTTGGAGAACTTGTAAAAGTGAAGACAAGCATTTGACATATCTCAAAATATAAAGCAAACTAAAATGCAATTATATAGCTGTTTTTCCTTTTTTAAAAAAACTTCTTACAGTTCCTTATCCACTGAGCTTACGCCAGATAGAATAAATTATTTCATTAGGGCAAGTTACAACTTAGGGGGAGACACAAATTGGGAGACTGGAATTGATACAGACACACTACTATACATAAAATAGATAATAAAGACCTACTGCACAGCATAGGGAATGCTACTCAATATTCTACAATGACCTCTATGGGAATAGACTCTTAAAAAGAGCTGATACACAAACATGTATAGCTGATTACCTCGGCTGTATACCCGAAATGAGGACAACACTGTAAATTAAAGTTTACTCCATTAAAAACTAAAGAAAAAAACAAACAAAAACAACACCCCCTACTTACTGCTACTAGACATTCTTCTACAAATGGTGTCAAGACGTGAGGGCGAATGGTGACCATGATATCCCGGAAGTCAATGGCTGTGACTTTTCCAGTCCTGTCATTGTCCCTCTGAATAAAGGCTTGCTTTGCATGTTCCAGCTGTATTTCCTACAAATAAAGAAGGTAAGTGCATATGTGTGGCCGAATTCCTCTGCTGTTTGCCTGAAACTATCACAACATTGGCTTTCCTGGTGGCTCAGACTGTAAAGAATCTGCCTGCAATGCAGAAGACCAGGGCTCGATCCCTGGGTCGGGAAGATCTCCTGGAGGAGGAAATGGCAACCCACTCCACTATTCTTGCCTGGAGAATTCCATGGATGGGCTACAGTCCATGAGGTTGCAAAGAGTTGGACGCAACAGAGCAACTAACGCACACACCACAACATTATTGATTAGCTGTAACCCAGTACAAAATAAAAAGCTTAAAATTTGGGGGCGGGGGAGGGGAAGAAAGGTGAATTAGTTGTATTTCTCAGTTACTATAAATGACTGTTCAATTTCAAGTCAGGGTGAAGAAACAGACATTTTATCTTGAATTACTGAGCCTCACAGTTGTTCAGTAGCATCCCCAAGTTATTATCTCCTTCCAAAGAGGAAACTTTGCTTAGACTGGTGAATATGTCTTGAGAAAGTACATCCCCCCCTTTAAATCTCCTACCCAAAGAAACCAAATCACTTCTGTTCAAGTCCAAAGACACGATGAAAATAAAAACTAGAATGAGGCTTGGTAGGCTCAAAGAGGCCTTCCCTGGTGGCTCAGATGGTAAAGAATCTGCCTGCAATGTGCAAGACCTGGGTTCAATTCCTGGGTTGGAAAGACCCCTTGGAGGAGGCCATGGCCAACCCATTGTAGTATACTTGCCTGGAGAATCCCCATGGACAGAGGAGCCTGGAGAGCTACAGTCCATGGGGTTGCAAACAGTCCAACACAGCTGAGCAACTAAGCTCAGAACAGCACACGCTCAATGATCTGGCCAAACCCTGCTTAGGTGATGCAAATGATCAAAGGAAGCCAGTTAAAAGGCCATTAACCTCTCCCCAAAGAAGAGAGAAAAATTCTTAATGGTAAGTTGGTTCACAAACACGGGATGTAACAACAGACTGAAGAGGGTGGTTCTGCTCCGGAAGACGCTACTCCTCTACATTATTGGCGTCTGGGGGTGGGTGAAGCCTTTGTTACGTGGGCTCTTCTGTGCATTCCTACCCTCTTCCCACCAGATACTGCAGCCCCTTTCCAAGGCCATGGCAATCAAGAGTGTCTTCAGAGAGGGCCTTATGTCCCAGTTGAGGACCAATGCTCTAAAATTGGGAATTGGAAGGTACGTGGGTCAGAGATGGCTAAACTGTGTCAGTGCTGCTGGACGTATGTTTTAATTCATATGATCTATGGATAGAGAGCCCGATCTTAAGATTTCTTTTGATATTCCTGGAGTTAAGTGTATACTCACAATAAAACACAGCCTCCCATCAGAACCCAGCATGTGCCATGTAGGAGGCGCATTCCTTCTGCAGAGACTCTTCCTCACAACACTCTGCCCATTTCCCAAATGGGCCCTTGGAGTGAGATCTCATCTCAACAAAAAGAAAAGGCATCATGGATGAGGGTTTTGAGGACCTTAAATTGTTTGAAGTTTAATAAGCTTTATTAGATGATACTGAGGAATTAATAAATATTGAAAATGATAGAAGCTGGAATGTGAACATGGTAGGTCATTATACCCTCACCTTTCCTTTTGTGCAGTCTGAAAGTGACTACAATGAAACCTTTTTAAAGACAAAACAATAATAAGAATCAGAGTTCTAATTCTATTGAAAAGCCTCTTTTCAGTTATATCACCTGCCAGTGTTGGCCAGGCCGGTCCCTGCAGGAGCTCTCGTCTAAAACCTAACCTTTCTAGTGCCTCTTCCACTCACTCCTTAAATGGGAGGCACCAATCAGCCCTCTGTCCTCGGGTCCTGAATCAACTCTGCTCTGCAAAGAACTCCACTCCCTAGGTCTTCTTAAAAGATCTCTCATGGGTCTTGATTCCCAGATCCAGGTCTCTCACTTCTATCTTCTGCACCAGAATTCCTGATAGCTTAGAGAATCTACCCACAGGGTATCTTGTAAAGGCCATAAAATTCCATGTCACTCAACATGCTGGTGGGTTGTCTCCCACCCAACCCTCAAGTCTGGTCTCTCTCCTGTATTCCAAACTTCATTACTAGCATCTTGTTTTCCTGGTCATCTACCCTGGAAACCTATCATTTTCAATTCTTCAAGCTTCTTTCCCTCAGAGTAAACCAGTTACTAAATTAAGTCACTTAGACCTTTGAAAGTTCACTCAAGTGCATCTTTTCCTTTTCACTCCTGACACCATGCATTCAAGTCCTCCTCAGAACATGGCTGAATGGCCACTGTGAGCCCAACTTTTCAGCCGGCTGCTCTCTCTCATCTCTGCATGCCCCTTGCACACATCAACAGCTGTCTTCAAGCATCTCAAACCTGACTCCCACCATCCTTGCCCAAAACCTTTCATCATAAAGATCTGTCTCCAAAGCAAGACTCTTGAGACGCTACAAGGCGTTATTCTCAGCCTGGTCTCCAGTACCCACACCCAGCCCAGCCAGACCTTCCACACGCCCAGACCTTTGTCCACACTCTTTCCCCCACCTGGTACGGACCGTAGCCTTCTTCTCTAGCTCCTGAAATCCACCTACTTGGTAGCTCAAATGCCACCACCTAGGTAAATATAACTAGGCCTCCTAACTGAAAATAACTGATCTGATCACGTGGTCTCCTGCATGGCCCTCAATTATAAGACTTGTCTTATCCCATCCTACATTATAATCAGTTGCTTGCATTCCTGTCTTTACCCCACCTTGCCGTGTACTGCTCATCCTCCTTGTGGCATGGGCAGAATGCTTTAGATATAGTAGGTGCTCAATAAACCACAGACATATCATCAGAGATATGAAACTGCATAAAACCAATTGAGTGAAGAAATTACAATGTATTGAACAAAAAGGGGTCCTCTGTACAAGTGTCTCCAATTTATGAGGAAGGATGAAACCAACTGTTAAATACCCTGTCGTGAAAAATGACCACAGTATGTACTCAACTGAAAGTAAATGAACAGTCTTTGAATTGCCAGACCCACTGCTAAAACTATCATAAGCCAAGATTACTCTCGACAATACCAGAACGTGTGTTCAGTTATTTACCACTTCCCCTAGTTTACAACTAAAAGAGTCTTGGGGATCTTCAGACCATTATACCCAAAACAGTATCACTTTCCCTGGCCACTCCCCCTCCTCCGAGAGCAGGAAGCCACCACATTGAGACCAACCTATCTGGAATGCTGAACTGGGAAACAGACACCCATGTGGGGGCTGATGCTCCCATCACAGGACGGGGGTGCACTGGTGATGCAGATGAACACCATCACCATGCATTTTGGTGCTCGATTAACTGTAAGCAGCAGGGACCCCACAATCCCCAGAGAAGAAAGCACTTTTAACCCTAATGAAGAACTTGAGAATGCATTTCCACAGTTCTTAAGAGAATGGGAACATTATAAATTCCATGAAAAACGTGAAGGCAGATCATGCAGTTCTCCATTAATAGTAGGAAATAGTAAAAACGTTTAGCTATGTGTTTCCCTAAACTTAAAAGGAGCTTACTGAAGATGGGGGCTGCCTTCTGAAGAACATCTGTTTATGTCATGACTGTTTCTTGTTTTGGTAAGGAAATGAAAACTATCACCTCAAACAATAAAACAGCGGCAGTAACAGCATTTTGTGAGCATGCATTACCTGCCAGATTATTCTAAAGTACTCTGTAGTAATAGACTCATTTAACGTTCACAGCAACCCTACGATTTAGGAACCACTATTAACCTTACTGCAGCAGATGAGGAAACGGAGCTCTCATCGACAGGAAGCAGCAAAGCTGGACTTCAAGCCCAGGCGGTCCCACTGCCCTGACCTTGCTCTTCATACCACACTAGACTGCATGAGAGCCTGGATGGTGCTGTTCTCAGGAACTTGATTACAAAATACTCTTTGACACTTAGGAATCTTCACAGTTATGAGAGGATGAGCTTTCAATTTGCTTTAAAATTATTCTAAGGCTCTAGATCTTTCTGTTGCCATCTTTCACAAGAAAACAAGAGAATTTCCAAAAATTTTTCATTAAGGCAAAAGTCTTTGATGTGCTAGCGATTGCCACAACTGTCTTCCTAACAACAGCGGAGAAGAACCCAGAAGAGAGAAACCACATCTACAAGGCCTTGCACATAAGCAGAAGACTGAGGAGGACAAAGATCAATAAGGAGGCCTGGGGGAGCTGTAACACAGGCCCTCTATAAATACTGAATTCAAGAATGGATGACCTTTGAAACAAAGCCAGGCTGCTACTCGTGGCAGAGGAACTTCTTAAATTCTCCTCTGGCACCTCTACAGTTGATTAAGGAAAACCTAGCCCTGTTCAGTGAGGGCTGGACATATCTGAATCCAGAAGGGTAAGGCTGGGATGGAAAGCTTTTGGGATGCATGGTGTGCAGAGCACGGGTAGCTACTGGTCACTTCCAAATGAAATGGGCCAGAATGGATCAACCTGTCCTGTGTGCAGGAGAGGGGAGAACAATGTGAGCAGCAATAGTTACATTCAAATATTTAATGGTTTAAAGGACTACGAGGTAAAAAGAAGTTAGACTGCCTGTTTTTTATAAAAAAAAAAGAATCAGTGGAGAAAAAATAGAGGGATCAGGTTCTGGCACAAAGCATAGAGGTATTTAACCTGCACAACTATTCAGCAATGAAATGGGCTACCCTGCAAAACAGCAGGTTCCCAGTCACTGGAAATATCTGTTCAACTACCGGCTGAGAAACACACGTCAAGGAATTTATTTTAATTTAGCTTTATTTAATACAGGAGGCTGTGGAAGCAAGATGTTATGATGATAAAAATCTTAAGTCTGGGACCGGAAGGGGCAGAGCTCAAGTCTCAGTCGCGGCACTCCAAGTTGGCAGGGCCTAGGGAGCCGTGTTTGTATCTTAGGGCCCCAGCAACACCGTGCCGCTCAGGGTGGTAAAAACTAGACGTCATGTGCAATAGGCACTTCATA